TCTCATATTCTCTCTCTCTCTCTCTCTCTCTCTCTCTCTCTCTCTCTCTCTCTCTCTCTCTCCAGACTAGATAAGACTGTTCCTTTTCATCCCACCCCACCCTCAGGCATAAAGACTGGTTCAGTGATGAGAATACGACTCAAATAGATTGAGATTCTATTCTAGGACTTGAGTTTTTGTTGGTTTGGGGTGAGAGAGAGAGAGTGTGTGTGTGTGTGTTTTGGGGGTGTGTTTATTCATTTGACACAGCATTTCCCTATGTATCTTAGGCCGACCTCAAACTCTCCTGCCTCAGCCTCCTGAACACTGAGATTACAGGCATGTGCCATCATCTCCACAGTATTTTCTATCACTCTTAGACAATCTCAGTCTTGGAATACCAAGAAAAACAGCTTGTTAGAACAATTATGTCACTTTGGCTAACACAGTACCATCAGCAATAATAACACCATCACACACAGCCTAAAATAAGACAAAATAAGGAAAGCATTAATTTGCCTCCTTTATTCCTGTGGTCTAGATTTGAAGTCATATAACAAAATCTAAAACAACCAGAAAATTGTGAACAGTAAATAAGTGCTTACTATATCAATTTTACCATCAGGGGATAAAATTTAAAAGGGGTTAGAAGGGCCAGCCAAATAGCTCAGCAGATTAAAGTGCCTGCAAACAGGCACAGGGGCCAGCGGTTTGATCCCCGGGTCTGCTGTGCTGGCCCCGCACCCGGGGTGCACTGGGATGGCAACTGAGACAGGGTGTGGTGGTATGTGCCTATAATTCCAGCTCTTGGGAGGCTGTAAATAGGAGGATCACTAAGAGTCTGATCTAGTAGTGAAACCCTGAACACCTTGTAGAGCCTTCCCTAAAATACAAAAATAAATAAATAAAATAAAAGGGGTTAGAGAAAACAAATAGAGAAGTAGAAGAGGGAGAGATTAGAAGCAAGGCTCACACAAACCTTGGGAAACTGGTGCAGAAGACAGCAGGGAAAGAGAGAAATAAGAAATACAAGGGAGAAAAAAACAAAAGGAAGAACAGAACAGAACTGCAACCACAAAGAAGTTAGAAATCATGTTCACACTCATATAAAAACAAGATCAAACAAGGAGAAAAACAAAACAAAAGGAATAAAAGAGACAGTGAGAGAGAAAGAACAACAACACAAGTCTACTTCCAGTTTTGTCTCTGCTGTCACTGGGAGACAACAGGCGGCGGCAGAGTCCAGACCTCTGTTGATGTATCCCAGAAAGGCAGCAAGCAGCAGCTTAATGGTAGGGTAGTGCATAATCTTAGTGAGTCTTCACCTTTATTTCCCCTGAAGTTCAGGCTGGTTTCTGGCCATGAGCCCGAGACCAGACCTATTCAGCCTGCAGCAGTCTGCACACTTTCTTTAGGCTTGAACTCAGCCTAGAGCTGCTAGATGGACCCAGCAGTTGTTCTGAGTTCTGAGCTCAGTTGGCTCCCAGAGAACTGCTCTCTCCCTCAGGTTGACCGAGCCCGCAACACTCACCCCCAGCTAGTCAGTCCTTCATGCCCGCCCATTGCTCGCTTCCACTGCTGCCTCTCTCTACGGAAGCCCCTGGGGTTGCCAGCTGTCACTGTATGTCCATAGGTTTGAACTGCTCTGCCCATGCAGTGAGTCCCGCCTCTGAGAGAAGGCACCACCCACTTTGTCCTCATCATTGTTGTCATCGTCGTTGTCCTCCTCCTCCTCCTCCTCTGTTGAAATTTCTCTCTTTACTCTCCTGGTGGGCTAGAACTCTCACTTGAGATTGTACCTGGGTCCAGGGGACCCACTTCCCTCTTGTCTTCCTCATGTTGCTATATTCCAGTGTTTAGACAGCAACTCTCACAGAGGCTTTCTCTTTGCTGCTTAGCACTCTGCCATCTTCCGAATATCATTTTAATTGTCAAATCTAGTATATTCTCATACGATTTCTATGTTCTCTCATGCTTAATACCAATGACCACCTGTGCAGTTAACAACTCCCAAATCTTTTTGTACCAAGCTCCAAATCCAAATAACCTCTCAGAAAAGCCTTTAAACTCATGGTTCCAACCCTGAACTCTCTTCATGTACTTCCTGCTTTAGTGACTAATACCCTCCTCCTCCCAGTCACATACACCAGGAATCTGAATAATCTCCCATAGCTATCATCAAATCCTCAGGCATCAAATCTTTGATATTTCTATTAATTCCTCTTCTGCAAGGCCTTCACCATATTTTAACCTGCAGCCACCTGAAACAGTAACTCTAGTTTATTCTGAGCTGCCAAAGCTGCTTTTCAGTTGAAAAAATATTTAGTGAATACTCATTATGTACTACAGGCAGCATTTAAGTATTGGAGCAGGGAAAATGAATCACTATGTCTAATCTCAATGAGTGGGCATGAAATTTAGTAAACTAGGGCTCAGGACTAAACACTGCAGGAAAACCAACACAAACTCCTAAAATGGTTTAGGGAATCAGGTAACATTTTCTACAAAAAGTCAGGTCTAACTGGAGTTCTAAAGAATGAGCAGGAGTTAATAATGTAGGAGAATGGGACAGGAACAAAGAGAGGGGGCTCAGCTTGGTGTTAGTGCAAATAATAGGTACTTCTATGTAGCAGGCCTTTGCAGATTGAGAGGGTAAAAGCAGAGAAGATAGGAGTTATTGGGAAGGAAAACTCTGGTCTTATTAATGTACTTACAGGAATTAAGCAGACTTACCGTTCAATCTCCTTTTCATTCCCCTCTTTGCGAAATCGCTCAATATATTCTTTGCTGTGTTGTTCTTGTGTGTGACACTGTTCCTCAAATATTTTAATTGTTTCATTAAAAGCTTCAATTGCAGTTCTATTCATCTGTATTTCCTGCAAGAGAGAAAAAGAAACACATACTTCATTATGCTTTTTGTAATCTTGATCGTACAACAAATCTAAAAATTATAGTCATAATCCTAATAAGACCCAGTTAGGACGGCTATGACTATTACTGATCACAAAATACATCATTCAAACTATAAAATAAATGAAAAAGAACCATTATCTTAAATATGGCTAAGAACTATAGAAAGGTCTCTGAATGGCCAAGAAACACTGGTCCTAAACACCTTAGGCTTTTCCTAATCCACTGAGTTGAAATATCACAACTTATGGTCACAGAGGTGAAAGGTATATAAAAAGAAAACTACAAACACTAGTGGGAAAAGTTCAAAAAGACACCCTGCCAAGGAGATAGCTCAGCAGAATAAGTGCTTGCCTGGCAAGTGCAAGGTCCTGAGTTCAATCCCTGGTACCAACACCCCCCCCAAAAAAAAAAAAGAAAGAAAGAAATGAAAAAAAAATTGCATTATTTGGGCAATTATTTGGGGAGATGGCTCAGGTCCTGAGTTCAAGCACAAGGTCCTGAGTTCAATCCCTGGTTCTGAAAAAAAAAAAAAAAAAAAGACACCTGGTGTTCATGACTGGATAATTCTATTAAATACAAAATTAGAATGACAGGGCTGGGGAGATGGCTCAGTAGAATAAGCACTTCCCTGGCAAGCGCAAGGACCTGAGTTCAATCCCCAGTTACAGATGAATGGTTAAAGAAAATGTGATAGGGCTGGTGAGATGGCTCAGTGGTCTAAAGCACCTACTTAGAACAAGCTTAGCCAAAGCACAGGGACCGCGGTTCAATCCCCCAGGACCACATGCCAGCCAGCCCCGCCCCCTGGTGGGCTGAGCTGGCCACACGCACAAATAAATAAAATAAAATAAATTAAAAAAAAAAGAAAATGTGATATATATACACAAGGAATATTATTCAGTCATAGAGGACAAATTCTAGTCATTTGTAGGAAAAAGGATGGATCTTGAGACCAAAAGGTTAAATGAAATAAGTTAGATATGGAAGGATATATCACATAGTTTCTCTTATAGGAGAAACCCCAAATATAAATGAATTAAAGAATAAAAGGAAGGGCTGGCCAAATAGCTCAGCAGATTAAAGTGTCTGCTTAGGCAGACACAGTGGCCGGGGTTCAATCCCTGGCCTGCCATGCCGGCTCTGTCCGTAGGGTGCGCTGAGACAGCGGATGAGACTGGGCATGGTGGCACATGCCTGTAATCCCAGCATTTGGGAGGCTGAACACAGGCTGATCACTATGAGTCCGATCTGTGGAGTGAGACCCTCTAGAGTCTGACTCTGTAGACCCTATACTAAAATACAGAAAAAAAGAAAAGAAAAAAGAATAAAAGGGAGACGGTAGGAAATAAGGAGGTAGAGCTTTGGAGATGGTAAAGAAGAACAAGGGAAAGGGGTAAGACATATAATTTATATAGTATCAATTACCCCAAGTGCATTTAATTATGTCTTTCAAATACATAGCAATAAAACAGATCATACTACTCAAAGTATTATACAGATTTGATTAGATTCAATTCAATGTCTAATTAAACCTAGTGGCATTTTTTTGGCCAAAAAAGAAAAATTATCCTCAAATTTATATGGAACTCAAAGGTATTTACAATAGCCAAAACCAGCTTGAAAAAAAAAAAAAAAAGAATAATGTTAGAGGCCTCCAAATTCCCAGTATCAAAGCTTATTATGAAACTGAGTCAAGTCAGTATGGTTACTGAAACAAGGGCAGAGGTATAGACTAAAGCAATACAACAGAAACCCAGAAATAAAACCTCATAAATCTATGATCAGCTGATTTTTCAACAAATGC